TTTGGGTTTAAACTGTTAGTAGATAGAGGTATGGGAATTGATTTGGAGGAAGGAGGTAATAAAAGTATGTGTTTGTGAGAGAAAGGAATTGGCAAAACGATCAGGGAAAGAGAAGGTCCGCAAAATAACAATTCACTTAGGGTATATTACACTAACAGTAGAAGTCTAAGAAATAAAATTAACGAATTAAATGCTCTTGTCTGCACAGAAAAAATAGATATTATTGCACTTACCGAAACGTGGATGAATGTAGAAAATAGAGAACTATTAGCTGAATATCAAATATATGGATTTAAACTATTTCACACAGATAGATATATTAGACGAGGAGGTGGAGTAGCCATATATGTTAGGGACAATTTGAAATGTAGTCTCAAAGAGGGAATCAAAACAGAGCCACACACAGAAACTATTTGGATTGAATTAAACGAAAAAGCTAATAATATTATAATAGGAGTAATATATAGGCCACCAAATTTAGACAGAATGGAAGCAAAGCATCTATGGGATGAAATATCTAGAGCATCTAGATCTAACAGTATTTATGTCATGGGTGACTTTAATTTTAGCGGAATAAACTGGTTGAACAAAACAGGGAATAGTGAAGCAGAAGATTTTCTAGAATTAATTGACGATTGCTTTCTTACGCAACACATTAAGGAACCAACACGGGAAAATAATATTTTAGATTTAGTGTTAACTAACAGGGAAACGCAAATTAATGACATCGAAATAGGGAGTGAGCTAGGGAGCAGTGATCACAAAGAAATCAGATTTAGCATAGAATGGAATAGACCAGTAGGAGAAAATTCTGTTAAAGTGCCAGATTTTCGAAAAGCTGATTTTAATAGCCTAAGAAATTTTTTGGGTCAAATTGATTGGAAAGGCTTGGGTATGGGGTGTGGGCCGGTCTTGGAGCGAGACATGAACCCAGCGATAGGTGACTTAAATGGGGATTTCGATGTGGATTCAATATATAACTTATTTAAGAATATTCTAAACAAAGCACAGGAACGTAGTATACCATACAAATTGAATAGATCGTATACTAATGACCCAAAGTGGATAACAAAGAATTTGAAGAACCTTATAGGTAAAAAGAGAGCTTGGTACAAAAGGATTAAAAATGGGGAGGTCACTTTAGAACAGGAATTCGTACAACTGGTTAGAAATGTTAAAAAGAGATAAGGAAAGCAAAAAGAAACTATGAAGTTCGCATAGCAGGGCAAGCAAAGACAAATCCTAAAGGGTTTTTTCAGTTATATCGTACTAAGACTAGGGAAAGGATAGGTCCATTAAAAACTGAGACAGGTCAAATAACAGATAGTGATGAAGAGATGAGTAGTATTTTTAATAAATATTTTGTATCTGTATTTACTAAAGAGGAACTTAACAATATGCCTTCAGCCGAACAAGTCTATGTGGGTGGGGACGAGGACAGGTTGACGAGTTTAGCAGTTACCAGGGAGGATGTTCTTAAACAAATAGTAAAACTCAAACCAAACAAATCCCCAGGGCCGGATGAAGTGTTTGCTAGGGTGCTTAAAGAATGCAAAGAGGAGCTTTGTGACCCACTGTCAACCATATTTAATAAATCAATAGAGTCAGGCAGAGTGCCAGAGTTTTGGAAAGTTGCTAATGTGATACCAGTTTTTAAGAAAGGAGATAGATCACTTGCGTCTAACTATCGACCAATTAGCCTAACGTCTATTGTGGGAAAGTTACTGGAATCTATAATAGCAAATAAAATTCGTCTTCATCTTGAAAAACATAAATTAATAATTGAGTCGCAACATGGTTTTATAAATGGCCGTTCATGTTTAACAAATTTGTTATCTTTTTATTCTAGCATTGTTGAGGCAGTTGATAGTGGTAAGGATTGCGATGTTGTATACCTTGACTTTAGCAAAGCTTTTGATACAGTGCCACATGAAAGACTGATTAAAAAAATAGTCTCATGGTATTGGGGGTGCTATATTAAGCTGGATTAGGGCATGGCTATACCAAAGGAAACAGAGAGTTAGTATAAATGGAATCAAGTCAGAGTGGGAAAATGTTGTAAGTGGAGTGCCTCAAGGCTCTGTCCTGGGACCTCTGTTGTTTATAATATATATAAATGATTTAGATTCAGGTTTGAGTAGCAACATTTGCAAATTTGCCGATGATACGAAAATCGGTAGGGAAATTAATTCGGAGGAGGACTCACTATCACTTCAAGTTGATCTAGATAGGGTTTTGAAATGGTCAAAGGATTGGCAGATGCAGTTTAATGCTGATAAATGTAAAGTTCTGAGGTTAGGTAATGATGATAGAGTTACAAGATACGAGCTAGATGGTGTTGTGATTGCGAAGTCGGATTGCGAAAGGGATCTGGGAGTTATGATTAGTAAGAATTTAAAACAAAAGGATCAATGCATAAATGTTCGTAATAAGGCAAATCGGACACTTGGATTTATTAATCGCAGCGTTAGTAACAAGACACCTGGTGTGGTTCTCAAGCTATATCTTGCTCTAGTTAGGCCCCATTTAGATTATGCAGTTCAGTTTTGGTCGCCATATTATAGAATGGATATAAATTCACTTGAACGTGTCCAGCGTAGGATGACTAAGTTAATTCCCCAAATTAGAAATCTTTCATATGAAGAAAGATTAACAAAGCTTAAGTTGCATTCACTGGAAAGGCGAAGAGTTAGGGGTGACATGATAGAGGTTTACAAGTGGATGAATGGACATAACCGGGGGGATATTAATAGGGTATTAAAAGTATCAACACAGGACAGAACACGAAACAATGGATATAAATTGGATAAGTTTAGATTTAGGAAAGACTTGGGTAAATACTGGTTCAGTAACAGGGTTGTTGATTTGTGGAACCAATTGCCGCGTAACATTGTGGAGGTGGGGTCCCTCGATTGTTTCAAGCACGGGTTGGACAAGTATATGAGTGGGATTGGGTGGTTATAGAATAGGAGCTGCCTCGTATGGGCCAATAGGCCTTCTGCAGTTACCTTTGTTCTTATGTTCTTATGTTCTTATGTATGCATGGACACAGTATAGCACCTAAATTACTGGGGCCGTTTCAAAGCAATCAAAATGTACTCTCTGGAAATGAGAGGCATCATATTATATATACAGTGACACCTCGGCTTACGAATGCCCCTCTTTACGAACTTTGCCTCAGGTAACGTAGTTTGTTGATACGTATATGGCCGACCTAGGGCGTGGTGGCACGGCGACCGCGCCTCAGTTTACCAATGCCTCCCTCCTGGTGACAATTGCGACTCAATTCTTTTCAGTGTAAAGAATTTCAGTGTTTTTTTAATTTTTGGGTATTTGAACATAAAAATAATTATATGTCTAACCATGGGTCCCAAGAAAGTCAGTGGTAAGGTTCAACCTAATAAAATAGTTGAGTAGAGGCAGTAGAGGATATCCCTTCCTTATTAAGAAAATGTGTGAAGTATGGGAAGAACTGCAAAGTTTTGTTGAAGAAAACTTACCCAGATAAAGCTGTAGCAGACCGTTACATTGACCTTTTAAATGACAATGTGATGTCTCACTACAGACAAATGTTAAAATGTAGGGAAACACAAGTGTCTTTAGACAAATTCTTAATAAGACAAGCAAACAGTGAGCCACAACCAGGTCCTAGTGGTATTCATGCAAAATTTAAGAGAGAGTACCCCAGAGAAGTCATCACTACCTGATGTTATAATAGAAGGGGACTTCCCTTCCAAGCACTAACACCTCTCCTCCTCCCTCCTCCCTCCTCCTCACCATCTTCTATACGCCAACAAGAGTCATCAATAAAGGTTAGCAATAACTTGTACATACTTTAGTACTAAAGATTTAGGTGAATTAGGTATAATATTTACTTTGAAGTTAATATTTTTGGGATTGTGGAATGGATTAATTCAATTTACATTATTTCTTATGGGAAGATTCGGTTCGGTTTATGAATCGTCTCCGGGAATGGATTAAATTTGTAAGTTGAGGTACCACTGTACATGGAATATTCTTAAGATCAGATTCTAAATATGCATAATAAAATAACAACGCCCTGCCATACCTTCCTCTCTAGTAAGTGCAGAATAAGCCTAGTGAAGAGTAGAGGTGCCATAAATACAGCCAGAGAACACTTTCAGAGGTCCACGCATCATAAACGTCCTTCCACTGCATATAAGAAATATTTGTAAGTCGATGTTTTCAAGAGGCAATTGGATAGATTACTACATGAAGTGCTCAACCAACTGGGTGTAATGGACATATTGGCCTGCAGGCTGCCACAAGCCCAGTGAAGGAAGTTACCACGAGACAGAGCTAGGCTTGGCTGGTAGAGCAACTCTTGAAACTTACTACAGACCTTTATTTTCGTGCAAATTTACATGGATACGAGGTTTATCTCAGATCCTCCCATACTCCACTCTGGATCACACCAGATCCTTGTCCTTAAAGCCTGTTAGTTTTTTGGATGTTTCTCTGGCACCAACCAGCGCCAATATACCAGAACTACTGAGGGTCGGCTCAGAGAAGATCGATTGATTTATATTTTAACTGAGCAAAGGGAGTTGATTAAGACTTGTAAACTTTTACAGCATACTGGTTTAATGGTTTACACTTTATTAATATTATATGCCACAATGCTTTGCAATATGCCTGACTACTTTCATAATTTGAGTAAAATAAGCTACATCACTCTATTTTAGTATTCTAAATCTACTATTGTTACACAATACTGATGATGACACTACATATATTTTGCAATGATAATAATGTGCATTGAGCATACATTATAAGAAAACAGTGAATGGCTGGAGAGTGCAACAAATGCGATACACAATGACTATCTAGAAAATGTGCCATTTAATAAAACTGACAGAGACGCAGGTTTGCATTTCAAAATTTGCTTTTATTCCTTCTTAGCAATAATGTGAAAATGTGAAAATAAATGTTTCTATCATTTGACTTGAAATTTGTCTATAATAATATCATCTCTTCAGAAAATAGAAAAATCATCAGTGGTTATGATGGACCGGTGGCACATTGAGGTGTCCGAACAAACGGGAACTCACGAAGACGGTGAAGTTGTCGGAGACAAAATTCCTTACAATATAGTCAACAATTACTTCAGTATAGGCGTGGTAAGTAATGTGACGCCGCTCACACCCATCTTAATAAAGTATACAGTTTACAGCATTTTACTTTATTTTATTTTATTTATTTATATATACAAGAGTTCTTACATTCTTGTACAGCCACTAGTATGCGTAGCATTTCGGGCAATTACAGATGTAATTACTTATTATAGGTGTGGGGGCAGGAAGGTTTTTTTTTACTATTTAACTACAGATAAAAAGTATTCTTTTGCCCTTTTCATATTTAAAATTTTTTTAAAAATATACAATAAACCCCCTGATCTGTATGATAGATGATGTGCATAAGAGATGCTGATGTGACCATCAGCATTCTTCATAGACATCTACATCCTTTATGCATGGTGGCATCCCGCATGCATGTTGGGGATGATAATGTGCATGAGGGATGCTGATATCATATCCCTCATGCACATCAGCGTCGCTCGTACACATCAGCATCCCTTGTACAGGAGTGGCCCCTGGATAGACATTGTATGAGGAGCTTATGCTATGCTTTCTAACTTCAGAATCTCATAAATATGTGAATGGTGAAATATTAAAGATTTATTAATATTAAAGAGTCACAGGATCTGCACAGTCCCGTGACGGCACCAGGAGAAGTGGGAAACCCACCTGAGGGATGAGGTCATTCCGACCACACCCAGGGGCACCCACTCCAAGAAGACCCGATGGGGTGCAGGGGTAGAAGCCTGTCCAGCCAGCCCCGAGCTTCCAAGAGGAGCCACCCAATGCCACCACAGGCCGGAAAACATGACTCAAAATGCCCACGAATTGTGAGACGGAGCGTGGGTAAACAGAGACAGCCTCACCCTCATTGCTTGTTAACGGGGCGACCCGCAAAGGGGCTGGCCCCACCCCCCTCCTCTGAGAAGTCATCAAGCAAGCAGAGCGAGCATTATGCCAACCAGACAAAGAGGGGCCCCAGAGGAGGCACCAGCACAGAAGCAGGCAGCAAAGGCCCCTCCTCGACGAGCTGAAGCTGGAGCCCCAGCACGACCACCAAAACCAGTGCCAAGCCACAAGAAGAAAAGGAGGAAAACACAAAGGGCCTCCCGAACCTCCACAGGGGAAACCCGAGAGGGAGAAAAACCTCTGGAATGCAACCGAAGAACCCGGGGAAAGCCCAAACCACCAAATTTGCCAGCGGAAAACACACCAGGAAAGGAAGGGCAAGATACATGACCCTGATCAAATCCCTGGCAAAAATTGCCAGAAAATGGATGAAAAACTGAGGGCCGAAGGCATGGGAGCCAGCAGAGCATACAGGGCACAGACACTGGGCCCAAAACCAGGGCCCAGACCCCAAACACAGAAAACACAAGACCGGATGAAAAAACAAACGCCCCAAATGTTCACAGAGGAACAAACAGGGCAGGAAGCCCCTAAAGAAAAAATAAAACTGAGAGACTGCAACAGGAGGATAAAAAACTCCCGACAGAGGCGAAAAAATGCCCCCAAAACTCAAGCTCACATGCCCAGCAGTCACATGTAAACAAACTGCAATGCTGCCCTGGTGGCCAGGTGGGAAAGTGCCCACCAAAAAGCAAAATGGCCACCAAAACAAAAGGAGAATCGTCCTACGAAAAGTGGAAATCACGCCATCAAATGGGGGAACAAAGCAGATGGGAAGGAGGAATGAAAAAAACCCGCCCAGAAGGCACGCGGCCCAAGCAGGGGCCCTCGTGCCCTAAACCAGCAAGAACACTTCTTACCCAAGGCCAGACAGACCACTAAACCCCAGCTAGCCCCAAGGGCAAGGTAACTGCCGAGCAGCAGGAACCCCTACGGAAGTGAAGCCCGAGAGCATCAGGGAAGATAACCCTAGAACCCATGGGTAGTATTCACAGGGCGCTTAGGAAAGGAAGCCCTAAGTGCATGCAGTCCTCAGTACACTGTTACTCCTGGCCAATGCACCACAAACAGCAGGAAACACCACAAGGGCATAAAATCCAGCAAGAATCTGTGGCCAGAGTTGACATTCGCACTGAGTGCTTCAGCCACTAACTGAGGTGTGAGTAGCCGAAGCATAGGTCTGGGGCTCCCCCTTTCCCCTCCCAAGAAAAGGAGGGCTGCGCGGACAAGCGGCGTGGCGGCAGTGAGTGACGATTGCTTGTTAGCTTGTTTCCTTTGTTTTCCTTTAGGGAGTTCTGTTTCTCTAAGTTTTTTTTTTTTTTTTTTTTTTTTCAATTTCCTACCATGTGGGGTTTGTTTTAAGATGCCTACCTTTCTGAATGCCTATCTGCAGTCGATGGCAGACAAGCAATACCCCTTAAATACAAGGGGGTCTCCTTAAGCCTTTGCTCCCTGTACCTCTCTGAGGGAGAGCCAGGTTCCGGCTCTGGTCCCCAGTAGGCAAGACTCCATTGACTGAAGACTAATAATAGCGTATATCAGTCCTATAGCTCCAGGGAGCTGAAGGGGCTCCCCACAGACAAATTCTACTTTCTAATTGTCCATTATTTACCTGAATTTACCTAAGGACCACTGATACTAGTGGCCTCGATGAGAACAGGAAGCCAGCAGCTTGTCAAAGGTTCTTATGTCAGTATATACAATGATCCACATACAGTAATTACAAAAAGTATTATCTAAACAGGAGGATAGGTTGTTCAAGAAGCACATCAATAAACTGGAAAAGGTGCAAAAATATGCAGATAAATTTCTAGAACTGAAAAACAGAGCTATGAGGAAAGGCTAAAGGTGTTAAATATACTAAGAGAGAAGAAAAAAGAGGTGATATGATCATTACATACAGAATAGTAACAGGAATCAACAAAATTGACAAAGAAGAATTTTTTAAACCTGCATCTTCAAGAAATTAAGGTTATAGACTCAAGGTGAGGAAATACAGCTGCCAAAAAAAACAGCGTTGAATGTAATGAAACGCCCTTTTCTGGGTGAGACCCAGAGGTTCCCGGAGCTTATCCAGGCTGATATGCTAATGTCAGACTTTGGCATCAGTCACGTGTATGGAGTTATATGGGCCTACTGGGGACCACGAGCCAGAACTTGGCCCCCTCAGAGAGGCATGGGGAGCAATGGCCTATAGAAACCCCCATGTGGTTGGAAACATTCTATGTCTGCCATTGACCAGGTCAGGCACCCAGAAAAGTAAGCATCCCAAAACAAACCCCTATTCTGGTAAAATTTGCTACCAAAAGCCAAACAAGTGGATAGAACTCCCCAAAAAGAAACAAGCAAACGAGCATGACGTCACATGTCGCCACGCCGCTGTCTGGGCAGCTCCCCCCTTCCTGGGAGGGGGAAGGGGGAGCCCAAGACCCCTCATGCCAGCTATCCACTCATCTGTTCTGAGGCTGGATGTCAAAACTCGCGAAAAACCGCCGACCGGGGGGAGGGAGGAATGCCGGGGAGCCTCCGGGTCTTACCCAGAAAATGGCGATTCATTACATTCAACGCTGATTTTCTGGGGGGAGTTCCTTTGGCTCTCCGGAGCTAACTACCCACAGAGGAAAAAGATAGGGACTTACTTGGGAGGCGGTTGCTGCTCACTCCTCAACTCAAAGTCGAGACAACTGGCTGCAACCGCCGACCTAAAGCGACACAGACCCGAATAGGCCCAGGAACATTCACGAAATACCGAGCAGTCAGGACCCTGTTCGACCGCCAAAATCCCAGAGCCCGAATGTCAGCCCAGGACATATTGCCAAACATGGCAGCAAGAGCAGCGAACTTGCGAACGTCATGAGCCCGGGGATAGACCGCAGGCTGGCTAGCCTTAACAATCCTGCAGATGACCCGGAAGACCCGCACCCACTAACAGGGAAGAAGGGAAACCAGATCAACCCAAAGCACGTCCCCAGATACAGAAGCTGTGGTGTGCAAATAACGGTGGAGGGCCGCAACAGGACACAAAACATGATGCACCCCCAGCCTGACCAACCAAGCTTCAACAACCCAAGGACCCCTCCGGAAAGAAGCAGTCTCATTCTTCGCCAGAAAAGGAGGAGACGGCTGCAGACAGACAAACTGATCTCCACTACCAAAAGAGCAGAAACCTCTGCGCCAGAGGAGAGCATGAAGCTCACCGACCCGACCCCCAGAGGCCAATGCCAACAGAAAAAGAGCCTTCGAGAAGCAATCCTGAACTGAAGGGCTACAACAAACCAAGAAGAAGAAAGAAAAAAAGAGCACCCTGTCCAACGACCAGGACGGCTCAGGCGGCGCATGAGCAGGCCGGAGGTGAAACAACACACGAGACAGCTTGCGAAACGGCGCAGACATAACGTCGATACCGAAAGCAAGCTGAAGCGACTCCGTCAGCGCTGCGCGATACGAGGCGACAGTGTTAGACATAAGAAGACAGTACTGGAACAACTAAGAGAGAAAGGAGAACACAACCCTAACAGACAGCGAAGCACAACGATGAAGACCCTAAAAGAAGCGGAAGGACCGCCAGGAAACTTCATACTGCCGCCTAGAAGCCTGCAGGAGGGACACTAACAAGGAAGCCACCTGATCACCATAGAGATGATGATAAACTTGAGTCAAAATACCACACACGAAGACACGAGGAGAAGATCGAACCAGCCATGTGACTCACTTGTCCGATCTGCTGAAACAGGCGGAACCGCAGAAAAACCTCCGCGTTCAGACACCGAGCAAGCAGCACCTGAAACCACGGCAGAGCCGGCCACCACAGGGCCAAGAGGACAACTCTCCCCTAGTAAGTCTCCAAGCGAGTCATGACCTGGAGCAACAGCTGAACTGGGGAAAAGAGGTACAGGAACCCCCACCTCCACCAGTCCTGCTGAAAGGCATCGACCCCGATGGCCTCGCAGTCGGGGAAGGGCGCCACATATATGGGAAGGCACCTCGACCATGCTGACGCAAAGAGGTTCACCTCGGGGCGCCCGAACGTCTGGCAAAGCCAAAGGAAGGAGTCGGGATCGACCGGCAACTCCATGGAAAAGGGAACGAAATGAGACAGGCCAATGGTCAGGACATTGGACACTCCCTGTACG